GAGGAGGGATCTGAGTGCTCCAGCAGTTGCTGGGCCAGACTCAGACTCTAGGTTCTGACACTGTGGACTTACCTCCCAGCCACAATTCCATCTTAACTTCTGCAGTCCGGCTGGGCTGGAGATGGGCTCTTGCTTCCAGCCTTGTGGTGGGTAAATCCTCCAGGCATGTGATAGCTCAGTGGGAGGCCACTATTCGGTCCCCGATCTGCTATCAGCTCACCATGGTTTTTGGATATATTTTTGCCTGACTACAGAATAACATATTTTCTAATTCTAGGATTAATAGATTGATCTAACCCAAATTTTTATAAATCACTAAAAAATTTGCCCAGAGTTCTTAGCTGTTTCTGCTTCAATAATATTAAAACCCTGGAAAGGGCCCACTCCTGCCACTCAGGATTCCTGACTTAGCTCTGATGGGTAGTGAACAGCTAATTTGCATATGAATGAGGAGATTCACCAGTCTTACAGATACCAGAACCATTTTTCTAGCTGCATTTAAAGATGATTGTGGTATCAGGGGAAAAACTGCCTTTTTCTAGGCTGGCGACGTCTACAAGACAGCTTGTATGCCAAGTGCATAGTATGAATTTCCTATCAGTTCATTTGTACAAGAAGTGCCCACCCACATGTCAAATTGAGCCAGTTCCCATGTTCAAGTGAGGTCAGTCAAATAAAATGGCAATCTACTTGCAAAGTTTTATTTTATGAGTTAGAGTGACTTGATTATTTTGTCCTAGCTTATTTCCTCTTGACTCCCAAGTGACACCCTACACACCTCTACCCATTTCTCTGTCCCTTCACATCCTTTTTGGTTTTGTTCAGGAAACACAAAATAATCTCTCTATATATAAAAGGCTAATATGCTAAGTGTTCCTCTGCCCGTCTGGTCACTATGACGTGCACTGACCACCAGGGGGCAGATGCTCAATGCAGGAGCTGCCAAGCTGCCGTGACTTGGCAGCCGCAGTTCTCAGGTGATGCACCCCGAAACCAGAGAGGAGGGAACCCAATTTCTCACGGGGCCACGCAATTCCATCTTCAGCCATGGGTTATGTTGTTACTGGGCCACTGATGGCCCCAAATCTGGTTTACTGCACACTTGCATTTGTGTTCCACACCCCGTATGACAGCAACTTTGCAGAGTGCCCTCTCGCACTCCGGGACCCCAAGGGGGATGTCAGAGAGCTGGTTTCGGCCCGATCCCTGCAGGCTTGGCTGAGGGACCCCACCTGCCGGAGGGACCCCCACTTACTCCACTGTGTTGCCACCCCAGGTGGAGCCAACCAGGCAGGGACCACAGAAGGTTGGCTCCTGGGCGTGTCCAGCCGGTCTTGCCCAGTCCCACCCCGCCAGCCACCTTCTAATTAATTTCCTTTCAATGTGTTGTTATGTTCACTGGTTGTTATATAAACATAAGCAAAGCACTGTTCAAGGAGAAGCATTTGTTAAAAACAACAAAAGAGCCTTTATGAAATATATTCCAACACTAAGTATAAACAGCAGAGTTGAGTTTCCCCAGCTAGGGCAATTGATGTTGGAAGGCATTTTAAATAGCGAGGTCAGCAGAAGAGCATTGGAAATTGACTTCTTTCACAGACTTTGAACCTTTGCTGGAAGAAATTCTTGAAAGGCCCACATGGGGGTCATATCCCACCATACGATGCCCTACCATGTGGACAGTGATTTTTGGTTCTGAAACTTGTTCATACCATAAAATTCTGCTAGAATTTACCGCTAGCAATCTGGTTTTATCATCTCTGGTCTCTTTAGTAATGGAATTAATAGCTACGTAGAGTTAAACTAATGACATTCTTTCATAAGGAATTTTGAAGATGCTATTTTTAAACAATAATCCTGAATTTTTCTTAAAATAATAAGTGTTTTATAAATTCAAAGCAACATAAATTTTGCCCTAGCCAGTATATCATTCACTTAAAAGTTAGCAACACTAATAAAAATTTAGTATAGTATTTTTTAATTAAAGAATTCTTCAATGTGCAGCTTAACTAACATCCTGACATAGGGCACTGGTGTGCCATAGAAGGAAGTTTGAGTGCTAGAGTGTAGGCTTGGGTCACAGCTATTACAAATTTTAACTGTTTTTATTTCTAAGTGTTTCTGTCATATTTGGGGAGACTTACATTTCTCCCCTTTTGCTACTAGTATATCTTGTGACACATCTGGAAATAGAACTCATAATGGATATTTCATAAAGATGCTACATAGACAATGAAAATAAGTGACTGTGCTATTACTTAAAACAGTGTGACATCTAAACCACCAAGCAAACTTCTTCTAGAAAGGCACTGATACACACCAACAGCTGTCACTCAGATCTTTTTTGTGTGTAATTCATACATTTTCATAGATAATTATCTTATTCAAATAGTATTTTAAATAATTATTTTCTCATCATGCACACTCTTAAGTGAGTGGACAACTTGCTGAGGTACAAAGCAAAGCCTAAATTGTGCAGCTCAATAAAAAAAAAATGTCATTTCTACAGGGTAAGTGCCAAGTGGGACCTACTCAAAGCGTTGATTAAAATAACTACATAACTTCCGAAAAATCTCAAATGTTCTTTGCAGTGTTATTTACAATAGCCAATATTTAGAAGTAGTCTAAGTGCCCATCAGTAGATGAGTAGATATAAAAGCTGTGGTACATTTACACAATGGATACTACTCAGCCGTAGAAGAAGGGGAAGGGGAAGAAGGGAGAAGGAGATCTTGCCCTTTGCTACAGTATGGATGGACCTGGAGAGCATTATGCTAAGTGAAACAAGCCAGTCAGAGAAAGCCAAGTACCATATGATTTCACTCATATGTGGAATCTAATGAACAAAATAAACTAACAAAGAAAATAAAAACAGACTCATAGAGAACATACTGACAGCTGCCAGCGCTGACAGCTACTTAGGGATATCTACCTATATCCCTAAGTAGCTTATTATAGACTGGGGATTGGGGGCTGGGTGGAAAAGATGAAGAGATAAAGCAAAAAAAAAACAAAAAAAACTTCATAGACACAGACAACAGTGATTATCAAAGGGAAAGGAAGGGAGTAGGTAGAAGAGGGTGAGGGGGATAAATGGTGATGGAAAGAGACTTGACTTGGGGTGGTGAACACACAATATAATATATACATGATGTTTTATAGAATTGTACAGCTGAAATCTATACAATTATATTAACCAATGTCACCCCAATGAATTCAATATAAATGAAAATAAAATAACTATATTACTAACCCGCTTCCAAAAGCCTCAAATAAGTACATCTATTTTTGTAAACTTTCAGTATGTTCTCACCAAATATTAGATTACATGGTTCCTGTGAGTGATTTTTTAAAATATTTCATATAATCAGCATCAATGAAACCATAAGCCAGTAAAACAAACAAAAAAACATATGCCATAATCTTAAAGGTAAAAGTTCAACTGGTTTTGAACTTGTTTTCCTGACACATGTGAGTTTTTCCTTGATGCTAAATATTTACCCAATTCCTCAAACCCTCTATCTTAATTTTATATAAAATTGTTATTATACAGAATGTATTTTTTTACTTTTTAACTTTATTTTTGTTGTTGACACTATTATAAATGTCCGCATTTACAACTCCCCTTTGCTCACCTCCACCCAGCCCCTGCCCACCCCCCTCCTTCCCTCTGGCAATCACCACACTAGTGTATGTGTCTGTGTCATGCATATATGTTCTTTGGCTAATCCCTTCACCTTCGTTCATCTAGTCTTCCCTTCCCCCTTCCCATCTGACAGCTGTCAGTTCGTTCCATGTATCCATGCCTCTGTTTCTATTTTGCTTGTCAGCTTATTTTATTCATTAGATTCCACATATAATTGAGATCATATGGTATTTGTCTTTCTCTGACTGGTTTATGTATTTTTTCAATCTACCTATATCCCTAAGTAGCTAATTATAGACTTTCTGTGGCAATAGGTAATGAACTACAGTATTAAGTATTCCTCTGTACTATGGTGATAATTTTTCAGTTTACCTTATTCATGACCCCATAATGGTGGTATAAGCTATTTTAGTCCCCTTTGGAACTGGAAATCCTCTCGGTTTAGAGCAGTTTGGATTCACCGAACAGTGCTAAACAACTAGTTCCGGTTTCTATATTTTATTAGTAACTAATCTCTAGAAACAAGAAAGAAACAAAGGTTAAGCATAAACATTTTTGCCTTTCCTTCCATTTTATGACCATGATGATATCTGATACTTATCCGATAGCTGTAGTCTAGTATTCAGACTCTACACAATATGTTTCTATTCTTACCAATGACCCCGTGACTTTCTACTTGATTTGTAGTTGGTGAGGATACCTTACTATCGCTCCTCTGTAATATATTGAAAAAGAACACACCTAACTGGGTAAAATAGCCATTAATTATGTCCTTGTGGAGTATTTAGAGATCATGTAAATTGTGTTTTCATGAAGTAATGGTCTGCCAAGGTGTGTATGTGTGAGAGAGAGACAGAGAAACAGAGAGTTGATTTACTGGTGTTAAGACAGCCTGCTATTTCAGGATGCATAGTTAAGTATTCAGTCCCCTCGATTTGTGCAGTTGTAGTTTTTGCATAGCCAAATCAAAAAGGGATATCCATAAGTCCTTTTCCACAAAGCTGTGGTTGAACCGTCATTTTCACCTTGATATCTTAAGAAGCCAAATGGAAAGTATACAAGATGGTATTTGTTAAAGATTGAAAAATAATACTTACTGTTTAATCTTCTCATAATTCTGAACATGCAAAAGGATCACCAAGAGGAGCCAGCTGATCATTCTACCTCCTTAGAATACTGAGATACCAAAGTAAATCCCATGTCCATTTATTTAGTTACAGGTCAGAAGTAAAAGCAAGACAAGATGTGAAACCGGACATCCGACAGCCTCCATTCACGGACTACAGGCAGCCCCCCCTGGACTACAGGCAGCCCCCAGGGGGGGACTACCAGCAGCCCCCACCCTTGGACTACAGGCAACCTCCGCTGCTGGACTACAGACAGCACTCCCCCGACACCAGGCAGTACCCTCTGTCAGACTACAGGCAGCCCCAGGTACCTCGGCCAATGAGATCATCGCAGGCCCAGGACCAAGACTTCCTGAAGTGCAAACAATGAAATAGAGGGAGGCAGAGGAAAGATCACCCTTCTGAGATAGACAGCCCAAGTTCTATTCCTAGTTATGATATCATCTGGGTAACACCCACATCCTCAAAGCGCTCTGAATAAATAAATCTTTTTCAGAATAAAGCAGGACAATCAATCAATCAGTGGGTGAGTGGTAACGGGATGAACTAATTCCTGCTAATATTAGCTAGCTAATTCCCAGTATATTGTCTTGTCAAAGTTGAAAAAAAAAAAGCTCTTATCTTGAATCTCTAATACAGATAATGCAGAAAATTTTACAGATGTCAGCAATGGAGATAGTTTACATCCATAATTATTTACATAGCCCCCTACCTCCCATTTGGTGGTAAAGGGCCAAGCCCCTATCCATAAGCATAAGGCCAAGCCTGGCTTCATCAACCAGCCTGCAACCGGTCGCAAGCACCCAGTCCCTGTCTACACAACACTGGTTCTTATACTTATTTGTTCATGTTGGATGTGCCTTATGGCGACTTCCATAGCCCCTCTGAGCTTCAGTTCCCTAAAAGGAGGGTCTTCCTTACAGGCTATGGTGAGGATTCTACTTTAATGAAAAGCACTTAGACCAGAGCTTGGTAGCTAATAAATATTCAACTAGACAGCAAGATACAGATTAAATACAATTTCAATCAGTTGTGTTTTATTTAGGATTAATAATATTTAGGATTATTTATCTCCCCCAAATTTTAAGAACATTGAAGGTCAGGAAATCTTGGACATACTGCATTTTATGTAAAAGACGAATTGATTGTCTGCACTCCAACTTGATATTCAGTAGTTTGTGCACAGAATTGTAGTAAGACCCCCATTAAAATTTATTTTTCTAATTAGCAAACCTCTAACTTACACACATACACGTATGCACATACACAGGACTGGTGCATTTATTTATACAGCTCCACAGCACTGAATGAGATCACTCAAAAAAAGAATATTGCCCAGGCCTATATGCAGTAATTACATGTGAACCAAGTAAGCTAATGAACATCAATGTAAACAAGCTACACAATGACCAAGGAAATTGTGTTCTGATCTGCTCAAACCTTTGGAACTTTGTCTTGCATTTTGCTGGACTGTGAAGTCAGATTGCGTCTCACAACACCAACTCATCTGGAACACATTATAGGAGAGAGAAAAAACAGACTGAATACAGAAGCTTCTTTGATATTAAACGATTGTTTATTCCATTTTTCTCCTGGCCCCAAAGGACTTTGATTATTTCACCGTGGACATGGAGAAAGGAGCCAAAGGATTTGGGTTCAGCATTCGTGGAGGAAGGGAATACAAAATGGATTTGTACGTGTTGAGATTGGCAGAAGATGGGCCAGCAATAAGGAATGGAAGGATGAGGGTAAGAACAGTCCTTTTTATAAAATTGCTTAATTCTGAAAGAAACCCAGCGTGCTATTAGAAGAGTGCTGAAGCATGCTATTAAGCAAACAGATGATGTAGGTTTTACTTTCTTTCATTTCATGACGCAATTTTCTAAAGTTTGACCAAAAGTTATATAAGAATTTGATCACTCATTTTCCTGCTTATAGTCTTCTAATTGACAAATAGTGTTTTACATATATAGTTTTCCTACAGAGTAAACTCAAGAAAAGGGGCAAAATAATCTAAGAAGTGAAAACAAGGCTCCATATTTTTCTAGGGCTCGATGATTCAATTTTCATTTGAGAGCAAATCTTTTGAAATGTATTTTTAGCTTTATGCTTTTTTCTCCACATTTATTAATCAAATGGTTCTGTGTTTCTTTGGAAATATTTCTGCTGTGTTGACTGGTCTTTCAGCTTTGTGTCGGGCAGACAGAAGCATTTGGAAAAAGGTGGCCGAAGCTTCTTGGATACATGTTGTCCATAAACATGATAGCAGTGAGAATTTTTCCAATTAGAGTGTGAGGCTAGAGCGTATTTTTTAATGTAGTAGTTACTTTGAGGCTTCTGATTGTCGGGTAACTGATTTTCATCTAAAGGTACAAAACAAAGCTTGATAACAATATAGAATGTTAGACTCTCTCCCTTTCTCTGTAAAATGGTGATTAGTAAGCACATAATAAAGACTAGTAATTATTATAAATAATATCTCAAATTCATTCTTGCCCACCCTCCTTGCTCTTATAGTTACTACAGAAAAGCTGTGGTTCTTGGTTGGGTTCTTCCTCTGAGCCTCACAAACCAATTGCTCCTGGACAATTGAATAAATGTTATTCCTACCACCAACTCTACCATTTCTGGGATTCTCATTCCCACAGTGCAAAAGTAGAAAGTATGTAAATTGTGTCTTTTTTCTCTCTCTCCCTTCATAATGCTTTGACGGCTGGGAACTATCCAAGTTGGAATCTGAACCCAAGCAAAGCTGACTTGAGAGACACCTCCACCCCCGCCCCACCCAACACCAGCGTCCTCTACACGTGGTTTTAGAATAGGCCTCCGCATGGTTTCTTGGCTCTCAGCTTCCCTGTAAACAGAAGGGTACTTTCTAAACATGCTGAAAAGCCAACTCCTAAGTGGGTAAATACAACAAAATTAACTTTTGCAGTGCAGATGAAAAGAACAGCAGGAAGGCCATGAGTGAACCAGACCCTGCAAGAGAGAATAGCCCCACCTCACCCCGGTGGACTTCACACATGGCCTGTGTGGATTTCAGTAGCCAAATTTTTTTTAACAAGTGGTCTAAATGACTGGCTGTTCAATATATACAATACTTCCAAGGCATAGGAGCCTAAATATAGAAGTACTCGATGTAAAAAAAAAAAATACTTTCACAAAATACAAACCAGAATAATGGTTCTCATGGTGGTCCCTGGTATCAGCATCACCTGGGAATATGCTACAAATGCAAATTCTCAAGCCACACGTACGAAATCAGAAACTCTACAAGTGGGGTCATCCGGCTGTGTTTGTGTGATTCACCGCCAGGTGACTGGCACAAACTAAAGTCTGAGAACTGCTGAGTTAGAGGGAAGCTGTCATACACAGTGTGATGCAGGTGGGATGTGTGTGGCTTGGGCTTTGTTAACCCCCCTAGAGTTTGTCTAGGGAGATTCTTACCTTGTGCCAATGGTGTGCTAGAGGTCCTCAAAGCCATGTAAACACTGATTTAGAATTCATGGGCAGGTATTCAGTTGTATGAAAGATGCTTTATCTGGCCAATAGTAAAAATGAGCCCTCTACCTGGATTTCCAAAAAAATGGTATTTTAACTTCTTGTCAAAGATTAGAAAACTAAGCAACATTTCATCATTTTCCATGTCATTTTTATAAAGCCACCTATTCTTTCTGTGTATAAGCATATGAAAGGACTTAGTATGCCCAGTTTTAGATAATATGAGTTAGTTTATTTTGGATTACAGTATACATATATTTCTAGCATTGAGTTATCAAAAAAAAGAGCTACTTGGGAGTCACAGAGATCCCATGGATGAGCTTTTACTGCTTGATTTTATCTCCAATCTTTAAAATAGGGCTGAGACTCGGGCTGGTGTGGCTCAGTCGGTTGGGCGTCGTCCCATGGCATCGAAACGTTGCTGGTTCAATTCCTGGTCAGGGCACTTGCCTGGTTTGAGGCCTCAATCCTCAGTGTGTGTGCGGAGGAGAAGTATAGGAGGTAGCAGATCAATGTTCTGTTCTCACATCGATGTTTCTCTCCCACTCCCTTCCTCTCTCTCTAAAAACCAATAAAAAATAAAATAAGGCTGAGAGCTTAGCAGAAATGGATGGAAGAGTTCTTTTTCTGCTTTTTATGGATTACATTTGATATTCAAATATTTGAAGTTTTTCTCACTCATGAATTCTTATGGCACCAGTGGAGAATTTGTCTAGGGTGACAAAGTCCATGTCAGGGAAAAGGGTTACTTCATTATATAAGTTGAAAGGTACTCATATTTTCCGCTGTTTGAATTATATAAATATTTTGTTATCTGTATAAAGATCAATAAGTGTTCTTGATAATAGCACATAATTAATTCAGATCTTATTTTCATGTTTATTATCAGATTTAATGATTTAAAGCTAATCTTTTCCACCTTCATTAGTACTTATCTATAATTGGCAATAACTTTAAATTCACAGATGTATTTAAATTACTTCAACAAGGACCTGGACAACCAGTACTGGCATGAATCAATGGTTTGATTATTTTAAACTAATACATAAACTGGATAACATATGTTACCAATTTGGAAATTTCACGCTGAAATTAATTAGAGGCCCATTTTTCATCTTTTCTTTTTCCGTCTTATTTTAAAGTTCCCACTTAATACCATTAGGGCCCAGATAAATATAGATTTTAAATTTCTGCACATATGATGCTTATAAGGCAGGTTATACAGCAATGGCTACTATGACTTGGTTCATAAAGTTCCAGAACTCCTGAGAAAAGTAGGTGAACTAGATGTTTGCAGGCAACCTTTAAAAATACGTTCAAGAAGAGACGCTAGCACCAGGTTCTTCCCAGCCTCTAAAATATGCAGGCACCGTTCTACTATCCCTACACTAAACACAAACACATGCTTCATGATCCAATGTATTTGGAAAACACTTTATTTTTCCCTTTTTCATAATCAGAAACAGGTAATGATCTGGTAATAGCAGTATATCTTAGATTAAACCCAGCACAGTAGAATTGCTCAAATCAAAATGACTATGTAAATACTGGATAATTCTGGAAAATCATTTTCAGTAACAATGAATCACTGTGCTCTTGGTTTTGGGGTGTAAGTCATACTACTTTTGAAAACTTAGTTAATGTATCAGATGTAAGTCTCTGAAACTAAGACTTCCTGGGTCTTCTACATCCGTCTTGGTTGTAGGACAGTGGTGGTATGTGCCTGGTCAGTAGTATAAGACTTTGCTAAGAATACAAAGAAAACCAGTACAGTTGCAAGCAGTGGGGAGGAGGGGAGAGCACAGAGGAGGGGACTAGAGTGTGTGTAAAAGCAGCCTTCTCACACTGGGGATTCTAAGAAATATTGGCACAGATATGTATTTTTAAAGCATGCCCTTAGACATCCAAGTGATATCCCAGGCATCCAAGAGAATATTCATGAATCTTGTGATAGACAGCTAGATATATCCCAAGAGTGAGTTCCAGGTAAATGACTTGACTAGCCTTTCTGGGCAGCTGAGGCAATGAAAATTATCTTAGCAAAGATCTGTGGCAAATTAGACTGTTTGACTTCCAAATCAATTAATAAATACTCACACAGAACACAGTTGTTTTTTTCCTCCTTGAAAAGCACTGTATGTTTAGTCATTTTTTTTTTTGTCAAGTAAGTACTTTCTTTCTACCTGATGAAACGAGTCAGATTAGGCAAGTATCCTGATAAGGTACAATGGATTTCTTCAAAATATGAGAACCTGCCAGTAGCAAACCAGGATCAGATAGTAGTGGGGAATTTACAAACCAAAGTTCAGATACATAAGAGAGGATAAGAAACTTTTTCAGAAGCTCAATTAGATGTTTATTTAAAAGAGAGGTTCCGGGATCCCTGTATCAGAAACATATAAGAGTAACTAAATAAATGGATTTAAAGATTCACTAAAAATATGACTCTTTGGGGCCCTTCTAAACCCTCAGCCTCACTCAGAACCTTTGAAATAAGCAAATCTAGTACATTTGCTGTATTAAAATTTAAATCATCAATCCACTTTGTTGAAAATAGAAAGAATGATATATACCTGATAGCACTGATGGGAGGACTTGAGAAATATACCATGAGATAGAATTGATATTTTTTATTACGACAAAAGAGTGAGGTATTCGGTTGTGAGAAGGGACATAGATATTAAGATAGGTCATGGAATACAATTTAAGTTGAATAGTCCAGTGAGAATAAACACCAAGAGAAGCCATGTGACAATAATTACATGCAATAGTCACTTTATCAAAAAAAAAGTAGAGAATAACATGTTTTTACTTTAATTACTAGTTTTCCAATATCAACATTAAAAGTTGAACGACAGAACAAAACACAATCTGTAAATGCAGAAAATAACGGGAATGGGGCAATCATCATGTCTGATTGCTTTTCTTCAGTCTTTCAAGTAGGCTGGTGTAAGAGAAACACAAATGACTTTCAGATTTAATGAAACAGTATAAGAAATTATTAGAAAATATAAGTGGATGTATTTTTTAAGATTGTTTTCAAATTTGTAAAATAGTCCTAATAAAGTCAAGAGGGATAAAATTTTCATAACTGATGAATAAATCTCTGGTACAATGCTCTTAGGGACACAATCTAATTAAAAACTGAAGATAAATAGGAAACACAGGAAAGAATAATGAACATGCAAAATAATTTACAGGGGAAGCTCAGTGAAGCAGAGAATCTAGGAAATCAAGAGGCATTGGA